TGTGTGTGTAACCCCCCTTTTCATATGATGAAAGTTCTCTATAGACTAACCTTAAAGCAGAAAGAGAAGGAAAGCTGGATAGAAAGAAAAGAAGAAAGAAATATCACTTGCACTAATTTCAACCTTTAAACCAGCACATATTAAACATCAGCATGTATTCAAGTTTCTCCTATCTGCCTGTCTTTCACCCAAGTGTAGCACCTCATTAAAGCATCTAATAGAGAAGGGGGTGGGTTTTATTTTGAAACATCTTCCTCTCCAGGAAGGAAGTGGGGAAAAAGAGGGAGACGTGCGGTTCGGCCTCAGCTCATTGTGGGTCCGTCACCAGGGGTTCCGTTCTCTGAAGAGTTTTAGGTCAGTCTGATGCTACAGCAGAGGAACCTGATGGGCTTTAGAGTTTGAGGAAGGTGATGAGCAATCAAGTGTGTAGAGTGTCCAGCTTCTCCACATTTAGGATCAGGCTGTCGTCTCTACACCAGCCCATCAGCGGCTTAACTTCCTCTATGTAGTCCTGGTTGTTGTCGTCTCTGATGAGGCCCACCACTGCAGTGTAGTCTGCAAACTTCACAATGTGATTGTGCTGAACATGGGGTTGCAGTCGTGTGTCATCAGAGTGAACAGAAGGAGGCTCAGGATGTAGCCTTGAGGGGGGCCTGTTTGACCTGTCTGAGATGTTCTGTTCAACCCGGACAAACTGGGGTCTTTTGGTGAGGAAGTCTAGCAGTCAATTGCAAAGGGCTGTATAGAAGACCTTCCAGTTTTCCCAACAGATGCTGTGGAGTGATGGTGCTGAAAGTTGAACTGAAGTCCAGTTCACCAGGTGTGCTAGGGTCAGGTGAAGAGTAGAGGAGATGGCGTTCTCAGTGGAGCGGCTCCTATGATAGGCAAACTGGAGCGGCCAATGTGCCCCCTCTCCCCTTTTAGCCATTTTCGAACCTCCCCAGTCATCCAGGGTTATTGGGTGGCCCTGGTTATGATGTTCTTTGTGGTGCTTACTCATCAATATCTTGTTGTCATACTCTAGGTAGCTGTTGGTTTGAACATATTCCAGCCAGAGCATTCAGCACAGTCCTGGAATGCATCCACAGCACCCTCAGTCCACACCCTTACCTACTTCACTTTAGGTTTTTTTCTGATTAGATGGCCACCTAATTTTAAAAAAATAAGAATTAGGTGGTCTGACGAGCCGAGGTGGGGGCAGGGGGCTGCTCTGAATGCATCTTTTATGTTAAAGTAGGCTAAATCTAGAGTGTTCTGTCCCCGAGTTGCAATGTCAACAACATTTTGGTTAAATTGGCATGTTTAAAATCTCCAGCAATGATGAAAACAACCTCCCTGTAGAGAAACCTTATGGCCTCTTTTGTATATGCTGGGGAGGCATATACAGCAGTGATGGTAACAACAATGAACTCTCTAGGCAGTTAGAAAGGTGTGCAGTCAATAGTCCAAAACTAAGTCTTGAGAGCAGAAGCCTGAAAAACTGAGTTTTTTTTTTTTTATTCTCCCAGGTTGGGGTCTGAACTGCTCCCTCTCCCAAGCACCTCTCAAGTCTTAGCCCAGTAGGGAGCTCATTCCCCCGATCCTGCTCTCCCTCCGCTGGCTGGTGCCTGGGCTCGCCGGTGCACTGGTGGAGCTCAGGGTTTGGGGTTGGATGCCCAGGTGGCTACTGGCTCATTCCTGAAGGCTTCTCCGCAGGCCCTGGCTGGCCGGGGCCTGGCTGGGGCTCCTGCCGGGGGGTAGGGCGCCCCTGGGGCCTCAGATCCCTGGGGCCCAGGGCCAGATTCACTTCAGGGTGGCTGGCTGCCGGCTGAGCCCGCAGACTTGTCCCCCCAGCTCCTGGGGGCTCCGGCATCCTGGTGGCTTGGGGGCGTCCGTCTCACCAGGTCCGTTCTCAGAAGAGTTTTAGGTCAGTCTGATGCTACAGCAGAGGAACTTGATGGGCTTTAGAGTTCAAGGAAGGTGATGAGCAATAAAGTGTGTAGTGTGTAGAGTGTCCAGCTTCTCCACATTCAGGATCAGGCTGTCGTCTCTACACCAGCCCATCAGCGGCTTAACTTCCTCTATGTAGTCCTGGTTGTTGTCGTCTCTGATGAGGCCCACCACTACAGTGTAGTCTGCAAACTTCACAATGTGGTGATGCCCAGGTGGCTACTGACACATTCCTGGAGGCTTATCCCTTGGGTCCGGCTGAGCCTGCGGACTCTTCCTCGCGGCTCGAGGGGGCTCCAGCATTGGCAGGCCACCCCTATGCAGCAGCCCCCTGCCAAGACCACGGACCAGGCACTTTGCGCTTCCTCCAGGCCCCAGATTCCGGGTGGCAGCCGGGGAACAGGGGTGTGAAAAGACCATGACCATGCATTTTTTGCATTCCTTGGGGCTGTTTCTCCTCCTCCCTTGGTGGGAGTCTGATTTCCTGGGCTGGCCCCTCCTTGGTGCTTTGGATCTTGGGGTCCCTTTGGGCGTCTGGGACTTAGGGTGTCCCAGCGCTGGACTCAAATGTGATCAATTTAGCATTATTACAACTAGTGTTGCACCAATACTAATACCAGTATCAGGCGGGACCCGGATACAGCACTAAAATTGTGGTATTGATATCATAACAAATAGGGCACCGATACCATTTTGATAGGCAAATGATTTTTCAACTATTGTCACCCATTCGAGGTAGGCAATAAAAAGTTCTACTGGATTCACTTTGTAATAGTCTTTTTCCTGCTTCACAAATGCTGCAGCAGCTTGACAAAGCCATGATGACAATTATTTTACATCCAAGTAATATTCAGTTCTTCATATATACTGTACACACACACACACACACATCAATTTCAAACAGATGGCACTGGAATGGTATCGGTAATCGGCTGATACTGCACAGCCAGGTATGGAGTTTCGGGGCCAAAAATGGCTTTGGCGCAACACTAATTACTACAGTTGTTGTTGATATGAACACACGGCCCTCTCCCTGGCTCTTATCGCTGAGTTTAGATTTCCGGTTAGAAATATTGTGAGCCCTTCCAGGCTAACGGCAAATCCGGTATGGATGAGTTAAGCCATTACTCGTCAGGATGATAGTGCAGCAGTTACTGATCTCCTTTGAAGAAAGTTTGAGTTGAAGATGATAATTTTTTTTTGTCTAGACAAAAGCAGACGTAGGAGGGCAGGAGTGAAGGGAGTAGCGGTCTGTGGGGATTCACTCTTAGCTTCGCTATTAGCCTGCCTCTGCAGCCACGCTTCCACAGCCTTGCACACCTTTTTTGCTCCAAGCACTCCGAAGCTTTTTAAGTAGTCAAGGCTGGCTTTATTTACGACTCCAGAAAAAACACTTGAGGACTTTAGCCCCAGCAGGCACAGGTGGCCATAGGTACATAGTATGCATAGTTTGTAGCATTCTAGGCGGCATTTTTTGTAGAATTATCGAAAGCTGATGTAGGGGCTGCATTTGGGTGAGTTTTTGACCTGCACAGTTCATCTGTTTAGGCAGCAGTATTAATGCACATCATTTGCCTGTAGGGTTGTAACAAGACTTGTAAAAGAACACAAATGTATACATGCTATATTAGATAAAACAGATATTTTAAAGTGAAACAGAAAAAAAAAACTTGCTGTATTACTTTAAAGGATAAAAACATTGGTTCCTATTAAAACTAAACATCCTCAATTAACAGATGCAGCCGTAGAGAATCTGTCTTTTTTAATTAGACGATTTAGAAGGATGACTATGGGGCCATTTTTATAATATTTTTTTGTATCTTTGTTGCTTCTGCATTCATCTTTTTAATTAACTTTATGTGTTTAAAGAAGTTATGTTATGTTATATTATGTTTCTTAAGTAGTAATTAACTGCATGTACTCTGTTACAGATGCTCTGTTACATTATTTTGTTTACAACAGCTAAAGAATCCAAACGTTTGTCCTGTCTCTCTTCTGCGTGTGGCACTCAGATCAACTGTGCGCACCTCCAGCTGCATAGTTGGTGAGAACGTGCTGATGAGTAGGGGTGGACACGAGGTGGACAGAGCTTTTTAAGAAAGAAGACAATATTAGACAATATTAACATCAGCTCTTCCCTGACAGCATGGTGGGAATTATCCTGTGCAGTCCTACACCCATCTGGAACAACCCTGACAAAACAATAATATGAGAAACTTTCCGTACTGGAAGAATAAAGGTATTAACTATCTGGATCATTTATTTGAAGGTACGGAGTTTATCACATTTGCTTAATTAAATTTGCAATATGGCATTAACAAAAATAAATTCTTAGAATATGAGCAAATTAAAGCTATAATTAGAAACAAATTTAAGCATATTGATGGAAGTTTAGAAATTCCAACTAATATATCAGAGTTCCAAGATTTAAACCCCCCAAAACTACTGTCTAAGTTATACAGGACACTGACTAAACTGGGTGATACAATATCTCTTCCTATTACTAATTGGGAGGAGGATTTATCAGCCAACCTTGAACAAAACATCTGGTCTCAGATATTTCTAAGAACTTTTAACATGACTGGAAACCCCAATTTACAATTAATACAACAGAAAATCCTCCAGAGTGCACTATACAGGTCTAAGATTTTTCAAGATGGGTCTTGCACAATCTATTATCTGTGCACAGGCTATCAACTTGATAATTATATTCACGCGTTATGGTTATGTCAGCGGTTCAGATGTTCTGGGTAAATGTATATAAGCACTTATCACTGTGCCTGGGTTGTAAAATCTCACTTTCCCCTTCAGTTTTGCTTGCTGGGTGACTTTGAGGGAAGCTCTCTGGAAAAAAAAATCAGTTTGCATGGCCTTCATTGCATTATGTATCGCAAAGAAAACTATCCTCATGAATTGGAAAAGTAAGGATAAACTCAGCATCATCAGTATAGAGATCTGTTGTTGGGTCATATTAATCTTGAGACAGCATCTGCATCCCCATCAGACTGATGTCTCTGGGCTCCCTTCATCGGCTCTATCTCTTGGTGTAGTGGGGAGCTGTGGGGCGCATCCTACAGGGCGCGGGGGCTAGTTTTGGGGTTCTTGGGTCCTGGAAGGCTCGGGGGGGCGCTCGGAGTGGGGTGCCTGGCGGGTCTGACCCCGGGGTATTTTACCCCCTTTGGGGTGGGGCTTGGGATGCCACGGGGCATCCTACAGCGGCCGCTTGTGGTGCTCTCGGGGGGGTTCTGTTGTGGCGGACGTGGGCTGCTGGCCTGGTAGCTGTGCTGCTGCTGGGTGGGTCTGGGGTCCCTGGGGCACGTTGCCCTCGGGTGGGTGTGCTGGAGGGGCGTTGGGGGTTCGGAATCTGTGCGGAATGCTGCTCCGGGTCTGGGCCGGTGTACGCTCGACTGTCCAGCCCTGCCGCGGCCTTTGGTGTGCTGGGAGGCCTCGGACCCTGTTGGGCCGGGGGGGGGGGGGCATAGACATTAACACCTTATGACAGATGCTTCAGGGGTTTGTACTCTTCTCGTCGGGGAAAGGGAGGAAAGGGGAGTGGGAATGATCTCAGCCTGGATGTCTTTTGTCGCTTGTGTGGTAAGAGGTTTGAATGTTAATGTAGGGGAGGGATTACATCTCCGGTGGGCGGGCAGGGGTGGTGGTGGAGGGATGACGATTTTAGAATGGCTTCGGGTCTGGCTCCCTGGCTCGGTACTGGTCCGTGCTCTTGCCTGGTGGGGGCTTTGTCTGGGATGGACCCCAATTTTATTTTGCATTTACATCTACAACATTTTCACAACACACATCTATGTAGGGCGTTGTCTGGGGGCGTTGGGGTCAAGGCCACCTGGGGGGGCTTATTTCATGGGCCTCACCACAGTTGTCTCCCCCCATTCCCTCTCGAACTTAGACATTGAGGGTTGTCGATTGGGAGGGTGCGCTGGCACTGCCTGTCTCCCAGAGGGGAGGTGGACTGTGCTGGACACCCCCTTTTGGTAGTCCCAGTTTTAATTACACCTGGTCATGGTCATGGTCTTCTCACACTCCTGTTCCCTGGCTGCCACCCGGAGTCTGGGGCCTAGAGGAAGAGTGAAGTGCCTGGTCCGTGGTCTTGGTGGGGGGCTGCTGCGGGGGGGTGGCCTGCTGATGGCGGGGCTGTCACTTCTGCTCTCCCCAAAGAAGGTTGGAGGGAGGGGCATGCAGTGGCTGGGGGAATTATTTAGGGGGGGTGGGGGAGCTCTTGTTGGGTGGGCTGTGCGGGACATGTTCTTTTATGGTACCGACCAAAATGCTTGGGTTCTACCGAGTATCGAAACATGCCTCGTCTTTCGGTATCAAGTTTCGGTGATTGGCTGTAACACTTAACGTGATTGCGTCATCCAGGAACAATACACAGGTGGTCACGCCTACAGCCAGGGTTCATGTGTATCTGTTGTGAACTTGTTGCGAGCGTCGTGGAACCCCTTTAAAATATCCTCCAGGTCAAAAGTGCGGCTTCACGTGCACGGAAACAATTTAAGAGCAGAAAGTTGCTCGGTGTTTGACTGCAAGAAGAGTGGACCGCAGCCGGCGCTCTCAGCAGCCCATGGGCGGAGCAAAGCCAGAGCGGAGTGAATCATGCTGCTTTCAAACTGTACGCAGTAAGAGCAGCAAAATCGCGTCTGCTGCTTCCTTTTTTGCTGCATGTACCAGCTTCTGACGCGCGGCTGAAGCAGCTTTGCTGCTCTGGCTGCGCGGTCGAAAACCCCCGCCCACCGCGCTACTCTACCGCTACTACTCTATCCTTTCTCTGCCTTGCAGCTATATTTGCTGTGATCAGTGGGGATAAAGTAGGTTTATTATGTTTTTAAGTGGGAAAATCCACCTGAAAACTTAATCAGTGCAGTCAGTTCATCCTGCCTTCCAATATTTCTGTCGGAGCCGCTCAGACCCCCACATACCAGCGGTGCGCTGTCAGTAGGATCCCATTCAACGGGCTTGTTTGTCAGACATGGTAATTTTTCTAAAGGAAAACTGCTAAGTAAAAAGTTCCTCACAATGTAACAGTGAATATTAGACACTGATTTTTTTTTTTTATGTAAGAGGAAAAATGTAAATGGAAAAATCAGAGCTTAAAATAAAACTCCAGATTTGTACTTTTTATGTTGTGTAATTTTCTTTTTATTCCAATTGATTTTTATAAAACTGGTATCGAAAAAAGTATCGTTCAGGAACCGGTATCGAAGTGAAGGTATCGGTATTGGCACCGGAACCGAAAATTTTTGAACAATACCCAGCCCCATCCGTGTTGCTGTTTTTTTTTTTCTCTGTGTGGTGTGAGTGGGGGCACTAGGGTGGGAAGGTGTGATTGAATGAGTGAGAATTAGTTTTTTGGGTTTTTTTCTCTCCCAGGTTGGGGTCTGAACTGCTCCCTCTCCCAAGAACATCTCAAGTCTTCGCCAGTTGTGAAGCCCATTCCCCCCGTCCTGCTCTCCCTCCGCTGGCTGGTGCCTGGGCTGGCCGGTGCGCTGGTGGAGCCCGGGGTTTGGGGGTGGATGCCCGGGTGGCTACTGGCTCATTTGTGGCGGCTTCTCCGTCCCATCCAGGCCCCGGCCGGCCGGTCTTGGGTCCCTTTGGGCGTTGGGGGCTTTGGGTTTCCCAGAGCTGGACTCAGTGCTCTGATTTAGTGCCTCTTCGCTTCTCCACAACCACTATTGAGCATTTTCACTTTGGATAAACTTTACATGTACAAGTGCACTCTCACAAACAACTACAGGTGTTAAGTTCCAGGTACTCAGGGATTCACTTCCATACAGAAAGCCCATATTCTTTTCTTCAATAAATAATACTACTTCAGCGATAGTATCTAGATATTACTTTATTGTATGTCTCGCACCATGTCTGTTGGTTGTGCTGTTTTTTTTTTTACATCTGTTTGCAGGTGATGAAGCAGACTGAAAATTTTTTATTACCTCCCTTTTATTTCCTCTTTCTTTCATCTTTTCTCCTTTTTTTCTGTTTTTCCTCTTCTGTTCTACTTACATTGGAGTTTCCATATAATCTGTAAAACTCAGTGCAAAATTATAATAAAGCAAATTATATGCATGAAACAAGCGGAACATTATGGCAATATCCCTACTGCTCCACTTGTGAAAGTGATATCTGTGGGGCTCATTTTTAACCGGACTTTGCCAGATGGATTTCCTCCACATATCAATATGTAAACCTTCTGTAGAAATAATTTTGGGAAGGGGCGAAAATACTGGTTAGCTGATTGGCCTATGTTGGTGATAGACAGGCCAAATAAACCAATCAGATCAACGAAGCATATGACGTAACAGAGCGACGAAGAAGAGGAGCCAATTGATAGATCAAACTCTTGCCGAAACCAGTCGGGAGAAGAGCAAAAACATTTTTTTCTCTGAGAAAAGCCTCCAGAGCAGTGTTTTGCTCTTCTTTCAGTGAAGAAATACTCTGTAATTCCGATAAAACTTGCTCGATAGCCACGCTAATGCTAGTTTCATCGGCTGAAGCCGCCATGTTCTTTAGACTGAACTGTCGCGCTTCTCGTTGAGTCACACCTCAACCAGCCTCAAAGCTAACGCTGATTGGACGTTCGTTTGGTGAACGGCTCCAAATGTTCTTCAACGGAGAGTCTCCAGACTGATTAGCGAGTAAAATCTTGAAAGCTTGCGAGATCAGGATGGTCTCACGAGGCTAGCTGTTTTTGGCATCAAGACAATAATTTTTATTGCCACATTGCCAGACACGACACTGTACAAAACAAAAAAAGGACATTGCACTTTGGGAATTTATGTGGTAACTCTGATAGCATTTCTTTTAAGTGTGCTTTCTAACATTCAAGTTTCAAATTATTTTTTCAAATTAGTTTAAGCTTGGCAACAGGGGAAAAGGAATTGAGGTCCATCTTCTTGAGCGGATGTGACTTTTTATAATTCTTATATCAAAGAGCGGTATACATTTTTTAAAATTATTAATTAGCCTAATATGAGGACTTATATGAATTTGATTTTTTGCTGTTTTTATGCAGTGTGTTATTCTGAGAAAACACCTTTATCTAGGCCTTGGGTGCTGTTAATTGTTTTTGTCTTCCAGAGCTTGGACTGTTACCATGGTGACAACAGCTTTCTTTTCCAGTAGCCATCTGAAAAGGGGAGGGTGTAGTTATATCCAAGAGCAGTCATTCCCAGCCTTGGAGTCCTGACCACATTTTTGGAAAAATATGAAAATATAAATAACAAGAGATTGGAGAACAGGCTTTTTATTGCACAAAAGTAGTTTCACTTGGCCCTAACTTGATCTCTCTCTCTCTCTTTCTCTCTCTCTCTCTCTCTGCTGCCGGCTGTTACATAGCTGGAGCGACGGCTGCAGAAATAGATCCCAGACAGTCTAAAATGAAAGAATTTAAACTTTACTATTTGGCTACCTAAACACTTTACAAGTAAGGGTCATTAAATCCTCAAAATTTACTTAATCGATGCATTTGTATTATATTCTGCTCTTTGTGTGGGAGATTGTGGTCAGCGAATCAGCATGGTGTTGGAGGTGGCTGGGAAAATAAATGAATAAATGGAAAAGCTTTGTATCTGTGTGCAGTGATCGAGATGGACCTATACATGGGGCAAGAAAAGGTTTGAGGGCCTGTGTTTTGGAGATAGCCACCAATATGAAATTTCTGCACTAAATAATCCACAGAGATGCACCTGCCAATATGTGTCAAGGGCCAGAGCATTTTGATTTTCTTCATACAAGATTAATATTGTTAATTGTTAACATTGTTCATTTTATTAAATGCCAATCAGTGCAAAGCAGAATTTTTGCCAAACTGTCATGAAATAGGATCAGACTATGAAGCACTTCTTTCAGAGGTTAGGTGGCTTTCTCATTGCAAAGTTTTAACAAGGCTCTTGGAAGTGCCTGACAGTTTCCTGACAGACCCAATTTTGGGTGCGAGCCTTGCATATTTCGCCAGCATTTTTGAAAAAATAAGCAGCTTCCATCTGTCTGTAAAAGTTTCAAACATAGAAGTACCTTTTCTCTCTAATTAAGTCACAGCAGTTTAGAGAAAGTTGGAGCAGTAGGCTGCGTAAGTGGATGGGGGAGGCGTTGTGTTCACGGAGCTGGATGACTTTATGTTAAGTTACAAAATAACCATTCAAACTATCAAACAAATTATTGCCTCTCACCTCAGGAGCCTCATTGAATGTTTCAGTAAGTATTCCCCAAATGATGACACACCGGAAAAGTGAGATTGGATACCCCAACCTTGCACCTTTTTCACCGCGCATCACCTTTCATCAGAGCTGAAGGAAAGCATGCTCGATCTCTCATCTGATCGCACAATACAGACTGCTTTCCATGTATGTTTGCTGGAAGAGTTCTGGCTGTTGAAAGGGTAGGCATCACAGCCAAAAGCTGCAACTAATGTATTGTTTCCATTTGTATGCACATATTTTGGCTGCAGCAAGAGGATTGATTATGTGAGCATAAATAAGGCAACTCCTTCAAGCCGTCTAAATTTTCACATACCCAGAAGTTCTGGGCAGAGGAGGAGTACCAACAATCTTTCAGTCTGGCTTGCTGATTACTTCAACGGCATTTAATACTTATGACTCTTTTGAACATTTAACCCTTAATTTTCCTCATCCAAATTGGAAAGCAAGAAAACTTCTTTTTGTAACTTTGTATCGTCCACCCGGTCCTTATTCTAAATTTTTAGATGTGTTTTCAGAGTTCCTTTCTGATTTGGTATTAAATACTGACAGGGTCATCATAGAGGGGGATTTTAACACCCATGCTGACATTGAAGGTGATAGCTTAAGAGCAGCCTTTAATGCTATCTTAGATTCTATTGGCTTTGTTCATCATGTGAATAGTCCAACACATTTTCATCTTCATAGTTTGGATCTTGTGCTGACATATGGCATAGAATGTGAAGAAACAGTATTTCCTCACAATCCTGTCCTCTGGCCACTTTTTAATAACCTTAAGGATTATTTAAACAGAGTTCTTTACGGCTGTATAAGGTGACCCTTTCTAAAGCAAGAGCAGCATATTTCTCCCCATTAAAGGTATACTATGCAACCGGTGTTGATTTTCCAGTGAGGCTCCCCCCAGAGGGCGAAAGTAAAAGTGCACTGTCGTAAATATGCACAGCTGTTCTCCTGGTTTCTCTGTCAAGCCAGGCGCGGTTGTTTTGAGCTTAGCAGACAGGTGAACGCAACGAATGACTAACACAGTGAAAGTATGAACATGCACACAGAGA